CAAAATATGATAGACACTTAAGGTGAAGTTATTCCAAAGGCAAAATTTGCTATAGGACACTTAAAAGATGTGTAATTGGCCGTGAGACACTGCAAATAAGTGAATTAGCTATAGGACACTGCAAAAACCTGTTAATTAGCTACTGGACACCAAACACCTTATTTTATTATATCCAGTGTGGATTGAGTGAGAAACAACAAGAAAAGTACTATTTTGCCCCTATCTCAATTAATCGACGGACGCTACCCCATGGCGAGCGAGCGCTCCAGTTGGCACGCACCACCATCTCCGGCATCGCCGCCCTCCGCGATATGACGTGTGAGCGCTGCAACAGCTCCAATGGCCATGGCGATCTCTCCTCGCTCTTCGCCGGCTCCAACGACAACGGCCCAGTGCCTCCGATGGTGGCTTCATCGGCACTCGGCACCATCCGTCATGCCCGGCCACAAGAGGGTTAGGTCCGGTATGGATGGGTTCATTAACCACCACCCGGAGCAGCTAGAGCACGACCACTTGCTGCTGTTGCCTTTTCTTGCATCTATTTATTTGGAGTGGTACATATTGCAATCTGAATGCAAGCTAGTACATATTGAGTACCAAGGCAACGGTGGAAAAATCAAAGCTCTACTACACCGACACACCGCGTTGCCGCTGTAGTTCTCGAGCACGAGGTTGCCGGAGTCATGGAGCCGAGCTCGCCTGGGCGTCCTAGTGCCACCGGTGGTGAGGGTTCTAGACCACCTTTCCACCGTAGTCGGTGAGGATGCGCTGCGGCACGCGCACGCTGGGATCCACCCACGTTGCAGACTTGCAGCTCAGAATCCAACGACGACCGGCGGAGTGCACGCGAATCAAACCGAGAAGGAGAAGACGGTGGAATATAGAATATGGCGGCGAGCAGACAAGAGTGACGGCCGTGCAGCAGATTAGAGAGGGGATTGAGCCGAACGGAGCGAGCCGCGTGCGGTCTCGCCTCACACGCTGGAGCCAAGCCGGGGGAGCCGAAGGGTAATCTGGTCTTTTTTCGTTGTTTCTCTCTCCGTTTTGTTTGGAAATAATAAAATAACGGCTTCAGTGTTTTTCAGCAAATTACATGTTTTTTAAGTGTCTTGTAGTCAATTCATGATTTTACGATGTCATATAGCTAATTACACATTTTTTGAGTGTCCTATAGAAAATTTTGTCTATTTCAAATGCCACACCAATAGCTCGTGCGAAGGTAGCCTAGTGGTTGCAGCGATCTAAGTAGTACCTTAAGGTCTTGAGTACATAGGAGCAAATTTCAGATTGGATTGTTTGCGGGGCTAAGTTCCTAATTTAATTGGTCGCATATTTCCGATTGGATGTAGAGGCCGAATAAAAAATATACAATAAATAAATAAATAAATAAATAAAAAGCTCGCGCGAAGCAACCAGCCAAACCACACACATGACACACCTCCGCTACACATGCACCCCTGGCCCGTGGGACAGGTGCCTGCGATCTCTCACCCAACGCCGGTCCGTCGCCTCGGCAGCGCTCCCGCCTCCGCACGCGCAGGCGCGCAGCGCACCAGCGCTCCCGCCTCCGAGTCCTCGTCGCCCCTCGGCCCGTCGAACGGTGCGGTTGCCCAGTTGCCCACGCGAAACGCCGGAGTGGCCCCGGGGGCGCAGGCGCGCAGCCACACGCCATCGGAGCGAGCAGTGGAAGGGAAGCGCGTGTGGTGCGACCGTGCGTCGCATCGCACCGGCCGTTCGTTTCTCCCGTGGCGTGTGGCGTGTGGCGCGCGCGTGCGTGGAACGGAGGGCGGGTTGGTTGGGTGCGTCGGTTCGTGTGTTGCCCCAACTCTGTCCCGGGCTCCCGGCGTGCCTGACTAATCAATGCGTACTTGCGTAATTCCGGGGAGCGTTTAGCGTTATGATGTGTTGCTGCGCAGTCGTCCTAGCGTGTGACTAACCAAGATTATGACGCACGATGTCGCGTCTGTGCCTTGCTTAATTTTCTCTTTGAATGACAATGACAAAGTCCCGTATACTTTGATCTACTAATTAAGCCGGAGATAAATGCACCGACCGTATATGAGTTACTCTCTCTATCTACTTTTGACAGTTATATTTTCAAATTTAAAAAATTTATTTTTGATAGGCATATTTCAATCCAACAACCTATCCTCTTAATGACTTTCTCGGATTTAATACGTGACTCTCCATTTCTCTACACAAGATTGGCTACCTGGGCATCGAGAAATGTAAATATTTATGAATCGCTTGTTTACGAGGAATGACTAATACTCCCTCCATCTACTTTTGATAGTCATACTTCCAAATCTGAAAATTTTATTTTTGATAGGCATATTTCAATCCAACAACTTATTATCTTAATGACTTTCTTGGATTTAATGCATGGCTCTTCATTCTTCCACACAAGATTGGTTGCATGAGCATCGAGAAATGTAAATATTAATGAATCGCTTGTTTACGAGGAATGACTAGTAGCATATTTAAATGGATGATAAGTAGAATCACTTATCCTTGGTCTGTGTGTCAAGATGAAATATGACTATCAAAAGTATATGGAGGGAGTAATATGTTTAAATGGATGATAAGTAGAATTACTTATCATTGGTGTGTGTGCCAAGATAAAATATAACTATCAAAATTAAATGGAGGGAGACTCAGTGGCGAACCCAGAAGAAAAGTTACCAGGGGTCCAATACATACTAATTATCTAATTATTGACTAACATATTAATTAATATAGTGTAATTTATATAGGATTTGAATAATCTATCCGGTGTACTGTGACACCGGGTAGTATAACCTAGGCACGCCCCTGGAGGGAGTACTACGAATAAAACTCGGGCTGAGTGGGATCTCTTAGCTCCGTTGGGACGTCATATATCCTTATGCGTGTTCACGATTGATTAGGAAATTTCAATGTCAATGCAAGTAGCTTGACATTATGTGGAAAGGGACTGGTTAGAGCAAGTACAATAGGATGACTCAGCAGACTCTAAAATATGCCACGTCATTTAATCTCTAGGTGAAAGGAAGAGAAACAAGCAAAGAGAATAAAGCCGGCGACTAATCTACGGCCTGGCGCCAGCACAAGTTTTTATGCGCGAGTAGCACAGGTGACAATAAAATAATGTTTTACGTGGGGCCAAAATCGACTGAGCAGGGAAACTGTGATTAAAAAAATAGGAAAACTGTCATTGGAAGCTGTGTAGAGATGGAGTGCAGCTCACTACTGTACGAGCTAGTTTTGAATATTAACTGCAACATGCTGACATGGTATTTTTGCCGCCGGTAGCGAGCACTACTATTGACCTTGCTCCTAGAGCACCCGCAATGGTAAAGTAAGATGCTATCTATAAAACATGTACACCTCAACAATAGACTAGATTAATAGTAAACCACTTCAATGGTATGTCTACATGGGTATCTATAGCTCTCTAATCCATTGCCTCGTTTTTCTCTATAGACTATCTCCATGTTAGTAGATAGCTTTGCTCTCTCTCTTCATTTAATCTCTTCCAAGTAGGAAAATATGCTGACATGGATCTCTTGTAGAGAGCTTATAGATAACCATTGTGGGTGCCCTTATGATACAATGTAGTAGATGGCAGATGTAGGGATGATTATTCAGTTAGTTGGCTGGTTTTCGAGAAAATGAAGTATATGTATCGGTTGTACGTTGTCTCCAACCACATTATAAACAACTTTAAAAACGGGTTGATTAGGCTTGCTATTTTACATGACATAATCGACTAAATATATTATTGTCCTTGTCATATATAAATTATATATGCACTTGGATATCGCAGTATGTTAGTTAAAGAAAAAAATAACTGTTGTAGAGATACACGAGTTGTAAAAAACCACCCTACGTTGTTATTAACATCGTTCTCAGCTTGCTTATGTTCATTTGTTTTTTCCCCTGGAAAGATCTGTGTTCTTGGCTTCTACTATTTTTCTATTGACATAGCAAACTAATAAGTTGTGCAGAAACATAATTGTGCTACAAATGTAGCCTTTTTTTCGAGTAGATTGGTTGGATTATACTACTATATGTTCTAGAGAAAAAAAATCCATTGGAACAGCTTTTCTTCACGGAGTTAGACACGTTTTTTTTCAGTTACTCATTGGAATGGCCCTTTTTTTTCTGTGAATCTTGTAGTCTGTACGGCTGTACCACGCCAATAATTATAATATGTTGAATTATGCAAAGGTTCTTTCTAGAGTTCGGTGAAATAGTTGACTAATGATTTTTTTTCACATCATGTCATACATTATTATTATTTTTTATATGCTGATGCCTCTAACACGTCTCTCCAGGTATATTGCTAAAATGAGGAATGAGGCCAAGAGGTCCATTTGACAATTAGTTTGGCTTAGGGCGTATTAACTTTGATGCCATTTCAAACCTTACCAAAGCAATAATAAAATTTTAGTAAGGTTAGTAATATTGTCAAATTTTGGCAAGATAACTATTTTGAATATGTTCACTTTGTTACCAACGTACATGCTACTAAATTTTGATCATTACTGTGCAGTTGCCAAATTTTTAGTATATTTACCAAAGTTTGATAAGAAACTAAACAGATGCACATTTTCGTTAACTTTAGCAAAAAAAAAAAAGGATATGATTTGAAATGGCATTAAAGTGAATAGGCCCTTAATGACTTCGAAGAGCATATCTGCATATGGTATGATACTATGATGCATTGCGCTTTAGTTGGTGACACTAGCTAGCACAACACTCTTATGTTCAATTCTAAATATGGTACCTCACCATTACGTGCTTTTATTTACTTAGGACAGACATGGAGGAGGTGAGATCGCACATGAACCTAGAAAGCACCTCTTAATTGCTCTAGCTTAGCTCGACCAAAATACGTGAAAGAAGATTGGAAAAAAAAAAGCACCATCACTCTCTGTCGAAAGAGAAAAAAAAAAAACTGCCGTACGTCACATCCTATTTCCGTTTAAATTTCTAATGACGACTCCCATGGTCCAGGTCCAGCACGAGTGCACGCACAAGGAGTCAAGGAGGACAAATCAATCCCCCGTAGCGCCTAGGAGATGGACCAGATGGTCGTGTACTAGTGTGCCACTCGCCTCGAGGTGTGTGTCTCCTCCCCTTTTAAAACCCCCCAACGAAGAGGCAGGAGCAGCCGAGCAGGACGAGGAAGAAAACCCAACCCGCGCGAAGCACAAGCACAGAAGCAAAAGCGAACGACGAGGAGAGACGCGACCACCGCCGCGGGTCACTCCCCATCCCAATCTCATCCAGGTAAGTACGCACCAAATTCTTGATGCCCATGGCGAATCTATCTTTTGCAAGAGAACTAAAGAACGAGCGGTGTGTTTCCGGATTATTCGGGAGTGCAGGTTGTTTTCTTGGAGGAGTCTCTTTTGAAATTTCGCTTCTCTTTATTAACTCTGTTAGATTGGATTTGAGCGGATAGAGGAGGGATGGATGGGAATTTCGGGAGCGAGGAGCGGATTCTGTGGCCGGCGTCGGTTCTTGCCGGCATCGCCATGTGCGCCGCGGTAAGATGTCCACTTAACCCGTTAACCCTCTTTCTTTTTCTGGCTTAGTTTTCAGCACTTCAATCGCTCAGTTTTAGTCTGCTAGTAGGGGTGAAAACGGTAACGGTAATTACCGGCCGACCGGAGTTCATTTTCGACTTTCTACCGGCCGAGCCATATGGAAATGGTAATCGACCGAAACAAAAATAGAAATGGTAAAAAATATGGAAATGAAAACGGAAATGGTTTTGCTGTTATACCGATCGTTTCCGTATTTACCGTATTCTTGCGGAAATTACCGTTTCTTATAATATGGTAATTACCGTATTCTAAATATGTCAATATTATAGGACATGTTTATACTTGACCCACAGCTTATAGATTGAATGACTCTTCAATAAAATCTCTAACTTTTGTACATGGCTAAAATGAAGTTAATTTATAATTTATATAGTATAAGCTTGAATTTATGTATATATATAACATACTTATGTAAAGTTAAATATATGTTTTTATAGTTTAATGTTTCCGTATTTGTTACCGGTTTCCGATCTGTACCGACATGTTTCCGTCCGTATTGTTCCGTTTCCGGTTTTCCGATATTTCCGATATCGTTTTCATTTCCGACTTTACCGTTTCCGATTTCGTTTCCGAGAAAAATATGGTTACGGAAATGGTTGAGGCTGTTTTCCGATCGTTTCCGACCGTTTTCATCCCTATCTGCTAGTTTGATGCCATGTTCATGCTTTTCTCGGTTTTTTGTTTTTGAGTAAATTTCACAAAACTACATATTTTGTGGTCCAAGTTACAGAAAACCACACGCACTTTGACACTTGGCACTTGAGTACATATATTTTGGTCGTGTAGTTTCACAAAACTACACTATCGATGTATAGATTCACCCGCGAGATGATGTGGTTGTTTCACCTAGGACGAGGACATGACATTCTATTATCAGCCATCGCACGAAATTAATATGATGCCACGTCCTCATACTAGATGAAACAACCACGTCGTCATATCACAAGTGAATCCATTTATCGATAGTGTGGTTTTGTGAAACTAAACTACCAAAATATATGTACTTAAGTGCCAAGTGTCAAAATATGTGTGGTTTTCTGCAACTTGAACCATAAAAAAAATATGTAGTTTTGTGAAATTTACTCTTTGTTTTTTTTCTCTATGAAATTAGTTGTGCATGTTGCTTTCTGTGTTGCATGGAGGTTGTCCAAATACTACTGTTAAAGTGTCAATATCGTTAGGAAGATAAGAGGTTAGTAGCTGGTGAAATTAATGCGGGTGGCCACAGCTCTGGAAGTCTGGATGATGGTGCTTATACTTGTCAATTGGTGATAACTGATTCATGATGTGTGGCTGCCTGGTATTGATAGGCCGTAGGTTCAATGCAAGAATGTGACATTCAACCGTGCTGAGCTGAGCAAGACAGTGTTGATTGTTGAATAGTTTTCGCTTAAGCGAAATATCTCATTTTCGTGTAATTACTGCTCTCCTGTTGGAATTTCTCTAGTTAGTGCAGTCAGTATAACTCGTGTGCTCTGGCAAAGGTTCTCTAGTTATTTTGGAGTAGTCTGCACTGTTTCTCGTCATTTGTCGTGTTCTGTTCTGTTTCTCTGCACTGTACTTCATAGAAGGAAAAGAAGGAAACATTGGCCGGGCACATTCAGTTCTGTTAGGAATAAGGATTTTTTTTTGCACGAAAAGGAATAAGTATTTGTTTTTCTCAATGTGCCTAATACCAATATCATGAAAACTTATGCTGCAATTTATTTATGCAAGGTAGTATGTTTCCCTCAATTAGACATGCATCCTCCAATGTGAGGTTAGTTGGAGATACATTCACGCATTAACAAAAGAAATCTGCTCAAGATATATGCATGTATCGATTTATTTAACCAAGTTGAGCATTGTCCTTTGTGTTGTTGAGATTTACAGATCTCAATGTAAGTTCTATGAAGCATATAAACGAGTACATGCCATCTGCAAAGGGGAATATTTATCCGTATGCAGAAGTTGCGGAGTTTGTTCCCTAGATCACATGGTAGTGCTAATTTATTTTTAAAAGTACAGATTGCTGAAATTAGACGTGATATCCTCTTCATAGTATACGCCATCCTCCTTCACATCAAAGGTGTGTGAAAAATATGCTCTGTTATGGGTTATGTCTTATGTGAATAAGAGTGGTACTTAGGTTACATATCATATATTCAATAGTCAATGGTGGCAATAGCTGCCTCTTATTTTCGTTAACTACTGTCTCCTAAACTGAAAATGATATTCTATATCTTGCTACCAATGTTGAAGCAGATAGTTTTATCTCTTTTAGAATTCATTGTATCTTGCTACCAACACTCATCATTTTGCCCTTCCAGGTATATGACATAACTCAAAAGGTTAGCTCTCATTGCTTCAAGGGTTATGACAATATAAGCCCAATGAAAAAGGTTGAATGGAATAATAGGTAAGATATTCTCCAACACAATTTTTGTTATTTATCTGCTGTCATTATTGTTGCTTGTTTTCCATTTTGAGTCTAACTACATGATGCCACTTGTTGATAGGGGTTTCTCTACATTCCATGCATTGGTTGCAGCTGTTGTTTCTTTTTACCTGGTTGTGATATCTGACCTCTTCCATAGCAACATAATAATTGATAGAAACTCATGGCTATCTGATGCCATGTTTGGGGTAAGCTGTTCATTTCCTGCTCTGTTCTGAGAAAGTTAAATTTTCTCATATAATTTAATTATGCACACCTTTCAGAACAAAATAAAAAGAAAATCTAAAAAATGTTCTTCATATTGTTCTTTGCATCAAGTGGCACAACATGCAAATGATAACCGTATAATGTATCATTTTAAATTCATGTATTGTGCAGGTCTCGATTGGTTACTTTTTGACAGATTTGGTGATGATTCTGTGGTATTTCCCCTCTTTAGGTGGAAAGGAATATGTAAGTATTACACTGTTAGAGTGAGTGCACGTGAATATACTGGCTATCTGTAAAACTTGTTGTCTCAGTTTCTCCCTGACCAGGATTTATTTTATCTCAGCTCCTGCATCATGGACTTTCGATGTATGCAATCTGTCTTGCTCTGTTGAGTGGCAAAGCACACATGTACATACTCATGGTTCTCTTTACTGAAGCCACCACTCCCTTTGTGAACCTTAGATGGTAATGTCCAGTTCTATTAAATCTGTTTATCCTGATGAAGCTTTTGCTCATTCTGAATTCATGATGGTCTGCTGCAGGTATTTGGAGGTTGCTGGTAAGAAGACGCATAACCTTTACTTATACAATGGATTGGCTCTGTTTGTCGGATGGCTGGTATAACCCATGATGACTTGATTTAAATAATTAATCAAATTTTCAGCTCTCCTATTGCTCTTTTGAAACACGTGATTTACAAACCTTTGGTTGGTTTGCAGGTTGCTCGGGTAATCTTGTTCATATATTTCTTCACTCACATGTACTTCCATTTTGATCAGGTATGCATGACTTTACCAGGTTTCCCAGATAATCAAATCAAATATAGCTATTAAATTCATCTACCTTTACATTTTACCGGCAATATTTTTCTTGTTACATTTCTGTTCTAATGCTCTCTGTACGCATATGCCATACTTTCAGGTGAAGTCCATCTTCCCCCTGGGCTTCTACAGTATACTGACGGTGCCACCGGCGCTGGCAGTGATGAACCTATTTTGGTTCTGGAAGATATTCAAGGGAATGTTGAAGACCCTGTCTAAAAGGAGACAGCAAAGTGAAAACGGAAAGGCAGAGTAGAACTTACAAGGAAGGTGGAAGGAGGTTTTGTTCACTTTTATTGTTAGTGCGTCTAACTTTCGACAAATCAAAGTTAAACATCCTTTGTACTTACATTACATTTGGGCGTTTTCTATTCATTAGTAGTATATCTTTTCAATTCTAATTGCCTGCGAGTGTGAGAACTTTATTGTAGAGTAGCCTGCATACTGCAGTCACTACAATAATTCTAACCTCTCCTCTTTTTAATCGTCCATCCAGGCAACTGTACACTATCTTATAACAGCATTGTCACTCCTCGCTTGGAGCTGCTTACCTACAGACACACAGTAATATTGTACTATCGAACTGTCGGCAACTTGCAGCAATTTTCGTGGACTTCCACGTGCATTTCGTGGATCGATAAGCAAATCATTTGTTATTTTTTTGAACGAATCAAATCATTTGCTCTTGTTATAAAACCTGTGGATTGGTAGTTTGGTGCTTCGGGCCTTTGTGGGGTTGGTAGTGGATCTGATGAAACCTCCTCGACAATTAGGGGTGACAATGGCAGTGGCAGTGTGTGGTGGTAGAAAAAAAATGGCCAAGCGTTTGGGCGTGAGCTTTGCCTTAGCCGCGGAACATGCGAGCGCAGCGTCAAAGACGTGTCGACCAGTAGTGGACTCCGTCCGGGAGCGTTTCGCTTTCCAAGTTTTTTTCCTCCTGCTGTTAATGGTAGTTCCTCTTTGGCCTCCGAATCTCGCTTTCCCCTCTCTTTCTTTGTGGAAACATCGTCCGGATGGTCAGGTAAAGCGCGTAGATAGCTATAGAAATCAATCCTGGAAAAAGTTTGGCAGGGCAAAATATGTGATCAAAATTATATGTAGTAGAAACTTAAAAAACTACTGTACGATGCAAAATTGAATGATTGAGATTTCGTCTACATCATTACAAGTGAAATTAACTCTTAGTATGATGTAAATTCAAGAGTCAGTTTTAATTTTCACTCATGGTGACGTGTAAAAAAATATCATACGTTTTAATTTTCACATCCTATCTACGATAGTTTTTAAATTTCCACAATATATAAGTTATTGTTTTTAGATAATGGAATAAAACATCCCGGCCTTTGCTCATCAGAGTTACAGTCAATTATTACAAAAGTAACACCCAAACACTGAGTGTAGTTCAAATGAATTAAACACAACCCACAAAATAAAAGATCAAACTAAGATAAGGAGAGCACATTTATTCAAGTCTATTTGTGAATCTCCATCCATAGTTTGCAAGGAGTTGCATGACCATTGTCTCAAGCCTACGACATGCAACCTTCATAAGCTCTCGATCATCTTCACACATTTGCAGCTGTGCCCAAAATCGGAGCCAATATGTTGCCCTGAAAATTACCTGCATATATGAGATAGATGATGATTTGTCAAAAACCATATCATTCCTAGTCAACCACAGAGCCCAACATATGGCAGAAGCTCTTACAAGTATGAGTTTACTCTTCTTCTTGTCTACCCCCAAGAGCCAACCATCAAACATATTAGATATGGTAGTAGGAAGCTATAAACCAATAGAGAACTGTACTGCTCTCCAAACAAATTTTGCATAATGACACTCTATAAAAAGATGTTGAATAGTCTCATTTTTCATACAAAAACAACATCTTAAACTGCCATTCCAATTTCGTCTTGCCAAATTATCCTTGGTTAGCACAACCCCTTTAAGCAAGTACCACATAAAAATCTTAATCTTAAGTGGCATCTTAAGCTTCCAAATAATCTTGTTTCTCTTAATATAACCATTATTAATTAAAGCTAGATACATCGACCTAACAGAAAATATTCTATTCTGATGATAATTCCATCTAAAGCTATCAGAGGATTGATTCAATTGAATATGTACAATAGAAGCACACAATTCATGCCAATATGCAAGATTCTAACCAACTAATGATCTCCTAAAGGAAACATTGAGTGGAACATATCTCATAAAATTAGCAATAGTAGAACTTTTCCTTCGGACAATAGAGTATAAAGATGGATATTTGTCTTTAAAAGCCAGATTTCCTAGCCATTTATCTTCCCAAAACCTTATTTGTTTCCTATTATTTACAATATAAGAACTCATATCTAAGAAGGTATCTTTGACCTTTATGAGACCTGACAAAAAATGAGAATCTGATTGTAGAGATACTTTCTCTTCAATAGATTTTGCCATACACCTTATATGTTATTTACACTACATATTTTGTATGGTCGATGAGAATCCAAATGGTTTAGAAAGCTGTAAATTTTAGGAGAATGTAGGTGCTAAAACCCCAATTTCTAGCTCTCCATACGTGACCTATGTTTTCTAAAATCTGGTATGATAAGATTTAAACTCTAGTCTTGAGCGTTTTGAAACAAAATTTAGAAACGAATACGGGCGAAGGACAATTTTGAAATAAAAGGGAAGACAAAGTGTTAACGCCTGCCATCATGACGTTTGTCTTTCTTTCCTTCCCTGAGTAGGAGTCACGTTAAGTTGAATTTTGGTCTGAGTATGAACAGTGTCCTGCAATTATTTTGACTATTTGCATTATTGCTTATTCTATGTTATCACTATTTGCATATGAACATAAGCATGTACAAAGGTATAGACAGGTATAAGCTCTATACTATCTAGAGACTAACGTCCTACAACAGTTGAAGATAATATGGTCTCTACTATTAATGTATCAAAATACTTTTTCTTACTCTTCTTTTCTTTTTTTCACCACCATGCAACAAAATTTGCTGAACAGTTATTATCATGCATAACAACTATATTTCTCTTTCCTCTTTTCTCTTTCTTCCATGTTACCAAACTTACTTGCATGGTAATAGAGAGAGACCACTAATAAAAACCGTTGTACATGCTCTTATATAATTTGTGATGGCGTTGAGTACTCAACAGCAAGTATATTTGCATATATGGACGAATACGATTCTTTTTTATAAAGGAAGCTTTTATTAATTTCAGACGATTACATCAACAGATAGAGCCATACAAAGAAAACAGAATACTAAACTTTTGAAAACAGAATAAAGATACAAAGACGGGCTCCCCCACAAAAATTAAGAAAACAAATATGGGATTAAACGGAAAATTTCTGAAATAAAGACAAGAACTAACCTCCACCACTACATCGTCTGCCTTTGTTCCTTTCCCCCTTTGGTGGATGCCACGTTTTTAGAGTTGAATTTTGCCATGAGCATAAACAATATCGTCATACTCTGTCACCGTTTTGACTATTTAGCATATTGTTACCACTATTTGCATAATGGCATATGGAAGAAATTTATTACTACTCCCTCCGTTTCAGGTTATAAGATGTTTTAAGTCTGGTCAAAGTCAAACTGCTTCAAGTTTGACCAAGTTTATAAAAAAATAATAATAATATTTTTGACCCAAAATAATTTTTTTAAAAATAGATTTAATTATTAATTTAATAAAACTAATTTGATAATATAAATATAACTATATTTATCTACAAATTTAGTCAAACTTAAAGCAGTTTGACTTTAGTCAAAATATCTTATAATATGAAATGAAATGGATAGAGTACTTTTGTTCTAAGATATTATAACCTGTTCTAAGATATTATAACCTACATGCGACTAAATTTATTGTAGGTTCCAAAACATTAGAATATAGATGTTTTAAAATATTTAGAATCATTGTTTTAGTATTAACACGGAGTAAATAATAGTACTCTTTTGTCAAAAAAGAATTATTCCTTTTCAGGTTATAAGTTATTTTGACTTTGGTCAAAATAAAACTCAAGTTTGTAGAAAAAATAGTAACATTTTTAAACCAAGACAAATTTATTATGAAAATATATTTAATTATTGATTTGATGAAACTAATTTAGTATTAAAATATTATTATATTTTTTATAGAAACTTAGTTAAACTTGATCAAAGTTAAAACGACTTATAACCTAAAATAAATGGAGTAAACTTTAGAAATGAATCTGAATACACGTGTTCATGTTTAACTCTAGAGTTTGACTTTTTTTTTACGGGGAGAATTCTCCTTTGCAATAGCACAAGCACGGCACCGGCCGTTCAGCAGAGGAGCAGGTGCACTACCATGCCCCTTTCCCTGTGTGTACAGTACAAGTATACAGGAAGCAACCCATCGATAAAATGGAAAGCGAGGTTCAGAAAACCCCTCGCCTCCAAAAATAAACCAAACGAATCCCGACCCCTTCTCCGCCTCTTCTTCCTCCTCCCCTCCCCTCCCCTCCCCTCCTTCCCTTTCCTTTCTCTCCTCTCCAATCGCCATACTTCCCGCTTCCCGCTTTGACCGCCTCCCCTTCCCCCATATCATCTCCCCTTCCTCTCCTCCACTTCCCGCCCGCGCGATTCACCCAAGAGAGATGTCAATGTGGCGCTTCTCCCGCTCCCTCCTCCGCGCCGCCGCCACCACCACCACCGCCACCGCGGCGTGTGCCTCCGCGTCCACGGCGGGGAAGCATGCCGCGTCGCGGAGGTGGGTGACGCCGCGTGAGCTCCAGAGGTGCTGGTACGCGTCGCTCCCGGCGGCGGCGGCGGCGGTGCCGGGGAAGGACGGGGAGGCGGAGGTGACGGCGGAGGAGGCGAGGAGGCTGATGCGGCTGGCGAACGTGGAGGCCCTGAAGCGGAAGCTCGGGGACGGCGAGGTGATCCCGTACGCGGAGCTGCTGCGCGCGTGCGAGGAGGCCGGAGCCGCCAGGACGCGCGCCGAGGCCGCGGCGCTCGCCGGCGCGCTCGACGAGGCCGGCGTCGTGCTGCTCTTCCGCGACAAGGTCTACCTCCAGCCCGACAAGGTCAGCTCACCCCCTCGCCCACCTCACTGTTTTTTTTTTCCAGAATTTTTTCTCTTCCTTTTTTTGGATTGTTGCGTTCGCCGCTCGGCGATTCGTGGGACTTGGCCGATTCGAAGTTTGGTGTGTTCGGCCGACAGCCCATGTTAGCTTCCTGATCGATTAGATTTCGTTTTTGTTTTTTCGGTGCAACCCAGAGATTTGTTTGGCGCATCCCCAATTCGGCCGGAGAAGCATATGGTCCACTAGGAACAGATCACTCCGCGGTTAACGGCTAAAGTACAGATCCTTGGCCCCCTGGTACTGAATTTGTGATGTTGATATGCAACATTTGGTAGATCTCCCGCGAGCAGAAGTGCACTTAACCATCGGTGGTCCAATGCTGCATGCATCTCATGCAAACTCTGGCCCAAGTTTGACGCCCTAATTTTAGTGGGTTTTGCCTAATGGCATCCAAATCGCTCTAATGAGTAATTACCCCCCATATTTTTAACAATTTAATCCATCCATCCATCTTCAGCTTTGTTGTGTAGTACCGTTTAACTGCTGATGGGAACTGACCAACCATCGTGGGGACTGGCCGTACTGTTTGGACCTCTTGGCAAATCCACCTGTTGCAGGAAAAGGAAAGGTCTCGCTTGCTTCTGGACGCGGTTCCAAGTGGTGGCATCTGGTGGCTCACTGCGTGCGTGCAAGATGCACCGCGCAGGTGTGCGCACGCGGACCGCACCGGTGTAAAAGCCGTCCTCGTTTCTTCGATGGAGAGGAATTCTTCCGATTAAGTGTGCTGATAAAGAATCTATTGAATGCTTTTCTCTTCTACCTTTCTTTCCTTTGCCCTTTCGGTGTCATATGGGATGGTCGATGGTGGGTCACTGGCTCATTGCCGTGTAGAGGCTGATGCATATTCATTACAGTGCTTTCTAGTCTTGGGCTCTTGGCCTCTCGGGTCCCTGTTAGTTAATTACTGACTTGTTAGTAGAAGTAGATGAGTGCCTGCTGGGTCTGACTAGGTTTATCCAACAGTTCTTTTCATTATCATGTAGTATGAGACAACCAATCTATCATGCATAACACTTGTTTGATAGCAAGCCCCATTTCTTGGTAATGAGCAAACTGATTCACTAAAAGGTACTTCCTCCGTTTCAAAATATAAGACTTTCTAGCATTATCTACATTCATATAGATGTTAATGAACCTAAGCGTATATGTGTGTCTAGATTCATTAACATTTATATGAATGTGGGTAATGCTAGAAAATCTTACAATATGAAACGGAGTGAGTAAATTGTTCGTCTGTGCAGTATTCTGTGTTGTGTCTAGTTGTGATAAGTATGAATTAGTTTTTACGATTTTGCATCAAATCTATCAGTGCAGGCTTTAGGTTTGCAGAAGTTCTCTACGCGGTTTTACTCTAAACAGCAAGCAACTTTATCTGATATTTAACTTTGCATTAACTTGCTAGCAAAATAATAATAATAATAATAATAATAATAATAATAAAGAAACTTAGCACTAACTAGTTCCTTTTGTTTGTTTCTTATAGATCGTGGATCTTGTAAGAAAAGCTATGCCACTCGCGCTGACACCTGAGGATGATCCAAGAAAGGAAGAACTCAAGAAGCTGCAGACACAGTTGGAAGATATAAACAAGCTCGCACACAAGCAAGTTCGTAGAATCCTCTGGTCTGGGCTAGGGTTCTTGATCACACAGGTTGGGCTCTTTTTCAGGCTCACCTTCTGGGAGTTCTCGTGGGATGTCATGGAACCCATCACCTTCTTCACCACCACGACAGGCCTGGTTGTAGGGTATGCCTACTTCCTCATCACATCAAGGGATCCAACTTACCGAGACTTCATGGAGAGGCTGTTTGAGTCTCGGCAGAAGAAGCTGATTCAGAGGCAGAACTTCAACCTGGATAGGTACCTGGAGCTCCAGAGGCGCTGTAAAGGTCCTTTGGAGAAGATGTGTGGCACAAACCAAACTCCCAACCCTGACATGGCTCACCTTCACGAGTTGTCCGTTAACAAATGACAACCTTCGCTCAAACACTAATCTACCATTGCTTCTTTTCTTGTTCAATTTTCTTGGAGTAATGATCAAGAAAATACTAGCAAAGCTGATATTTTGCATTGCCGAGGTGGACATATTTCTTTTGCGACCCTTTTTATGGTCTTCCATTATGCAAATGTGTAGGTTTAATAGCTACTATAATCCTTTTTTGTAACAATGCTGAAGCACAAGCACATGATAGTTGGAAGGAAAGCTTTACATGTATGATCATATGACCAGAAGCTTTACCGAGAGCTGTGTATCTCTGCAGCCACTGCTAATCTACTGTGCAATGTGGACAGATTCATTAGCTTTATGGTCTTTTTGGTCGATTTCGAATACTTGCCATATATTTTCTGTATTGTGCCTGATCTGCTAGTGTGTGATGGTGATTACTGTTCAAAACAGGACAGAACGATACCAGGGCATTCTGATGGTGTGTTTGATCTCCCATGAGTTGTAAACTACCGTGACATTACCATACAAATGCACCTTTTGAAACCAAAGCAAGAGAGAACTGCGATTCATTTCAAGAGAATGCACCGGCCGGTCCTGAAGGAGAACTCCACAAATGGGAAAAAGAAAAAGAAAAGAAAATGAGAACTCCACAAATGGTCAACCAGTCTACATGCATAAGCTGAAAATAAAATAGTCTGATCGCAATCAGGCCGAGATTCATTTTCTAATGAAGGGCCTTGCAGTTTTGAGCCGATGGTTCCATGTGGATGAAAGCAATGGTCCAAAAGCAGACAGGGTCGTCGAGCCTGAAACCCGATGCCCGCGCACGGCGGATGATCCGCTCCGCCACCCACAATTCTTGAATATAATGCCGGCGCCGGCGAGGCGTAGGCCAGCATGTCCCGCGCCTCCACGGCTCTAGCCTCTAGCTCTACTGAGGCCGAGTTTAGCTCCAAACTTTTTCTTCAAACTTCCAATTTTTTTTATCGCATCAAAACTTTTCTACACACAAACTTTCAACTTTTTCATCACATCGTTACAATTTCAACCAAACTTTCAATTTTAACGTGAACTAAACACACCCTGAGACTGAGTTCAGAACTCCACCTCCCCGTACTGAAAATGGTGTTACCCATTAACACATTTAATTAAGCATTAACCTAATAAACTTAAAAATAGATTAATATAATTTTTTTAAAGCAACTTTACTATAATTTTTTTTTAAAAAAAACACACCGTTTAGCAATTTGAAATGTATGTGCGGAAAAATAAGAGGTGAGTTAGAAAAGAATAGGGAAGAACTCAGTCTGAGCCGCCTGGCCAGGTGACCCAAGTTGACATCAGTTTTTGGTTTAAGTCAAGATACTTACCCTGTTTGCGCACGAAGATGCCTGGCATGATACGGCGGCCGCTGCTGCTAAGCGGGACGTCGCTTTCTTGGAATCAAGATGGCAAGATTCAGGAATCAAGAATTCCAGATCGCTGTGCCTGTTTCTGCTTGGATTTGTCTGATAGCGACCTTCGTGTAATCGCATTGGATTATGTTTGGCTGTTTGAGTTTGACTGAGATATGCTCGAGATAATCAATTTTGCGCTTTCTGCCCACTGCTGTTTGGAACTTCGTGGTATGCTTAGAAAAAACAGGGGACGACGCTCAAATGTGCAACACGTTTAAAACATATCGGTTCCTGAAGACTGCCTTTGGGTGTTTTGGGTGGATCAGATACTCGAAGTTGACTGGCCGAAGTTGTGTTCCAACAGTTACAAAGAAAAGAGTACAAGAACAGGTCGTCCTTAAACTGGGAGGCCTGTGTGAAATTTAAACCGAGCCCTAATTTAAGTGGCAAAAATAAATGATAATAATTCATATGAATTCATGATATATTTTATAGCAACGTAAAATAGAACAATATTTTACGATGCACTGTTGCACTTATCAATCCATACTATTTTAAAAGACTTTAATGGTAGTGAACTGCCACCACCATCCTATCGTCGACGTGTGGGTCCTAATTATCGGTGTGTAGCATGTGCCCTTTAGATTCAAAAACTGCCTTCTGTCTCTCATGGGAACCAGTTTCTCTGACGTTACTGCACAGCGTGACATGAACACTAACATGTGGGATCCATTATCTATGGATCCACATGTCAGCCACCAAATCTCTCTAACATGTCAGAGGATCTCTCTCCTCCCTCGCGTACCTTGCTCACATTTGTCCGCTCACAGACTGACAATGGTAGGCTTAAGGCTAGCAGCTAGTCCCCTTGCTGAATGATTTTGTTATAGGCACTAATGTTCCAATCACTCTGTACCAAAATATATCATAGCCGAATAAATATTATTTATAAAATCAATTTATTTTGAAAGACCTTAGTACACATTTTCTCCATACTCGAGACAATCAAAGTCTACACAGACGATTGTAGCACTATAATCATCGGCAAGGCAATCAACTTTATTATAATCAGGAGCCTCTAAAGTGCAATGTTCAGTGACAAATTGTCTTCACTGCGATATACTGACAATAATCCGTCGCAACTTATGTGTATTCAGCTAGTATCTAATAATTTAGTAACACTAAAGTATTAAACGAAATTAAAAACAAAGGTGGCGCTTGCCGCTGGCGGCCTTGCGTGAGTCGTATTCTCCGTGGTCTATGCAGTCACACGGCACTACATGACAACGTCATGGAGTATATGTAGAAACAATCAGATATGGACTGGAGCAGGCTGCTATTGCAACCAGTCTTTACCTTCGAATCATAGGTTAGTGACTTAGGCCGAGTTTAGTTGCAAACTTTTTTTTTTAACTTTCAACTTTTCCATCACATCAAAACTTTCCTACACACAAACTTCCAACTTTTCTATCGCATCGTTCCAATTTCAACCAAACTTTCAATTTTGACGTGAACTAAACACACCCTTATCTTTTTTGCAACACTTCATCTAACCCGGCGATTCCGGCGGCGGCCGGTAGGATGACAACAATAGCAGTGGAGGGGCCGAGACAAATGTAGTGGTACACACGAATTGTAGCGATATTTTTTTCAATTTGATAAAGTTTTAATGATATGAATCTAATTAACCCTTAAATCATATATGTATGGAGCAGAATACATATTATAAAAAATGTGTAATCTTCTTGCTAAGTACATTTTATTTCTAAGTTAACACAAACTATGGGATTGCCCCACGGCACCACGTGAGCTAGATAATTCGAGCCCATTTGATAAGGCTCCAACTTCTAAATTTAACTTCAGGAATAGGGTCTAAAGTAAAGTTGCGAAGAAACCTAAATTCAGCTCCATCTATCTAGTTTATTTTGTTAGAGCACTTCAGCTAGCTCCACTTCCTTCTTCGGTGAAGCTAAACGGTTGGGTTCCAGCTCTAGGAGAGATGGAGTTGAAACTAGACCCATGCCAAACAAGCCTTAGATTTAATATACAACTCTGAAATTTTATTTCTACTAGAAAAAATGCTCGTGCGTTGCAATAGGTGAAGTCTATTTTAATCTTATTATTGTTATATGGTTTAGTTAAGATGAAATTCACTGTGGGAGTTTGCTTGGATATATATATTTTTAGAAAATCATGAGCTACAGTTAGGAGTCCGATCGTCTCAAGTTAGCATTCGAGTTTTTTTTAAACAGATTTCTTATATGATTCCTTCTGTATTACCAAAAGTGAATGATCTTAAAAACCGACTTAAATACGGATATGTATTTCCAAAAGCAAACGAACTTAAAAACCTAAACGAATTAAAAAACCGACTCATACACGGATGATGTACCAAAATACCGGCAAAAACATCTTCAATTTTTATAATAGTAAAGATATAGAAATCATTATATGTAGAAATATATTTGGATTTCATATACAACTATTAGCTTCTATTTCTATAGACATAGATTTCATATTAAACTTTTAACTTCTATTTCTGTAGATATAATTGTATTTTATATACAATTATATTGTATTTTATATACAATTATATCAAGCAATCCATACCGTTACAATCCGGACCCACCATGATTTAACGATTAAGATCTTTTTTTCTTCGATTAATGTGGAAATATGTAGTAACCACAATGAATATGATGCGCTCTTTCAAAGCTGTTTTAATAATTCAACAAGGAACTTGAGCAAGAGAACATCTCAATATTAGCTAGCTTGCCAGCACAAAGAAAAAAAAAAGAAGATTTAGCCAATCCCAGTTCTCTGATCTCTCAAAGCAGTGAGATCACCATTTTCATCTTATCAGTCATCAGGTCTATCATCTCGACCTCCTCAGCGCGATAAAGAACTTTTCAGTGCACCAAATTAAAAATGATTTGTAAAGGTAATATTGGTGGGAAATAAACCAATTTCGATCTAAATATCATGTTGTTTCTTGTGGTCCAAAGCACCGAGCAAATATCAGCTAACAAAGCGGTAAAAAAAACTCTGATTTTTGAATGGTTAGTGTTTTTGGTTGGCATAAAAAACTCACGGAAATCCCTGGGATTGATGCCCATTAGCTGGGTGGCCCGCCCAATTGCGCGGCTAACACCCAAACAAAATCATATATTTTTTTAAGTATGATTTTACTTAAAATTTATTAAATAGCTATCTCATTGTCTTAAGACTTTGAGAGACCAAACCTTATCATCCTCGTGTTTCTAATTATATAGTTCTTAAAAGTCACACCAGTTGCTACCCCTTATGTCATCTCCTTTATTTGCTTGCTCGATCTACCACTATTTTTATTCATTCTTTTTGGAACCTTTAAAAATTGGATTTTATAGTTTTTAGAGTTTATTGTCACGTTGTGTTTCATTTTTATAATTTCTAGATGTCCCGTCAAACGTTGCCATTATACTCCTCTACGGGCTGTCCACTGTCTCTTCTCTTTATTGTTATTGAGATTTTAAAAATCGAACATAATTATCGTTTGGGTTCATTTTTACTTTCTAGAAGTCCTGCCAAACCGTCAGTAGCTTTGCCATTGTACTCCTCTACGGCTCGCCCGCTGTCTACCTTCTTTATTGTCATTGAGATTTTAAAATCGAATATGATTATCATTGTTTTTTTTACTTTTTAGAAGTTCTGAACCTTTAAAAGTTGGACTTGTAGTTTCATTTTTTATAATTTTTAGAAGTCCTATCAAATGATGCCACTATGCCCCTCTACAGCATGTTCGCCGCCTACTTCTTTATTGTTATTGTGATTCTAAAAATGGAATATAACTATCGTTGAAATTTATTTTTTATTTTCTAGAAGTCCCGTCAACCGTCGGTGGCTCTGCAACTATACTCTTATACACCCCGCTCGCTGCTTCTCCTTTTTATTGTCATTGAGATTTTAAAAATCGAATACGATTATCAATGCGGTTTGTTTTTTTACTGTCTAAGAAG